ATTAAACACATTCTTGAACATATCTCGAGTTAATTAGTTAAACCTTTTTTGCAATTTTTAATAAGATTGTTATAGTATATGTATTTCTATAAATAGACTCTCAATCTTATAACTTTTTAATTGGGTGCTAAACGAATGTTAGACCAAATGCCAGGCGTCGTAACTAATAAAATTCCATTTCTTCTTCCTTGAGAAACTAGAAACATATGTAGGCAATAGTATCCGGATGAGATATGGACGTAAACACTTAAGTCAGGATTACTGGACAGAACTCCGAAAATAACTGATCTGGCTTCGGCTCAAAGAAACTTGTTTTTTTTACTTAAGGCCATGAACTGACTTGGATTGAATAAAGTATGAATTAAGAATCGGAAATAAAAATGTTTATACAAAAAATAAATGCACCTTGACAGTTATGTTCATAAGAAAAGGTTTTGGATATATAAATTGACGGATTAACATATATGAACGTAAAACGGCTTTAATCTTCATATATGGATCTTTGTGGATCTATAAAAATAAAATAGTATGTATCAGTTCTTAATTACACAGGAACCGTTAACAAACTTAGAGTGGTGGCAAAAAAAACAAAAAAAAACATAGGCATGGAAAGATGAAAATAGGATTCTCAGCAAAGCGATTAACAAAATGGTGTCAAATTTCCATTTCAGAAATGTATTTTGTCTGGCTTAAGATTTAGTAATAAAAAGTTATCTATATCGCTAGATATCTCTCATTACTTTCTATTCTGAGGAAAAGTTGTTTTAGGCATAATTAACATCCAAGAATGTTGACCAATGTCATCTCTCACCATACATATAGATTTTCGTCTGCTTTCTACAATTATCTTTGTAAGCTTATGACACAACAGACGTTTTAACGTGGCTAAAGTTCATAAGACGGAGACAGAAAGATGTTATTAGAATTCTAAAACGAGACATAAGATTCAAAGACCCAATATCACTATATCTCTACAAGCATAATGGAATTTGAACTGCGCCATCTAGCTCTCACTAAACGGCCTATATTTTGTCCGAACACTTTATAGCATGCTTGGGAATTTACAGACTACAATTATGAATGTTTTCTGCTTCTTTTCGATATGGGATCATGTCGACTGGTGAAATAATCTAATACTTATGCAATCTTTGGGTGTGTATTAGTTTGAATATGTGGCCTCGTTTAACATAAATATTTTAAGAAGTTTGTGAGTTGAAATATGAATCTCTGTGATGTCAAAACAAGTGAATATAACACAGGAAGATCTGTTATATCTAAGCACTTGAAATTGTTTGCAGTAACAAACAACAACATAGAAATACAAGTATTTTCCAGTAATAATTGCATATTTATTGAAGTTTATAAAGTAGGCAAAGATGTCACCATGTTTGTCTAAATCATTAAAAGTTAGAATACAGACAAGTAATTAAATACACAGGATTACTTGCATGTAAATTATCTAATACGCTACAAAGTTGATAATTACTGTGTATAATGCACTTTATAAATGATTTAACTTTGAAATATTACAATTCCGTTTCTTACCAGAACAACTTTCATAATTAGAAAAATTAGATATTTCTAGGGAGTGATGCTTGTTTGTTTGTTTGTTTTTAATTATGCACAAAGCTACACAAGGGCTATCTGTGCTCTGCCCACCACGGGTATCGAAACCCGGTTTCTAGCGTTGTAAGTCTGCAGACATACCGCTGTGCTACTGGGGGGCAGGGAGTGATGCAACATGACCTTTATGTAGAGTGATAACATACTTTTCTGCTGTACACCTGGCTAGTTGTTGTTGTTTTTACACTCTTCACGAGCACGGAAAACCAGGTATGCTAGGGCGCTGTTTGAGTACACAACAACAGGAAAGACTGTTGTGAAGGTTGTATTCTCCGTGTCTGTCGATAACGCATATTTTACGATGTTAAATTTCATATATCATGCGGTCTTTTTGACAAACAATTTTCGCCAATGTGATGAACTGCTGGAAAAGTAAACTGCGCGGGAAATTTCGGGAAATGTAACAAGTATTGGGAAGAAACAAAGAAATGTTCGTTATTTAAAACGAGGAAAATTTATTTTTATTCGTAATTATTGTGACCATATACCGAAACATGGAATATATAAATAGCGAGCGTATTATATGTGTATACATGCAGAAGCTCTTGGTACGACAGCTGCTTTCTATCAAACCTGTCGCTTGGATCGCTGCGGTTAGCCTGATTTTTCGTGTAAGAAAATGCTGTTAAGGCTATTGATTTTGTATAATGCCTTATAACTTTTTTTACGTGTCAAATCCGTTAACTTTTCGTTTCAGACTTTATCGTTCCATTCTATCTCTTCCCTCATTTTTTGTTCAACCGTTATCGTTCAACCTCTTTAACTTTGTACATTTTTTCTTTTAACTAACTTTTATTCTAGTTTTTGTTTAGGATTTATTTAGTGGATACGTCTTAACAGTCATTCTATAATCTAAAATAAGCTATTTCTTATATTGGTTCTTTTTTAGGGCTATCTAATCTCACGAACGTTCGCCAAGTTTTTTTCAAGGTTTGTCACTCAAGAAGCAATCCGTTGCACAAGCTACCAATTCTTGTTCAGCGCAAACAGTCGTTTTTAAGATTTGTAAGAATGAATAATTTTTCAGGACTTGCCAATTTTCATTCACGATAAGTTGTCCTTTTCAGAACTTGAATTACTTCATCATAATTCTGAGGTTCAACTTGACTCTTCTAGAACAAGAAAACTAAAAACGTGTTCCTAACTAGATTTTGTGTGATCCGAAGGACTCCTTATTATTCCTTTGCAAAGTATGTTGTTGTTGATGTTTACAGGATTATGTCCCACAAAACTGGATCTGTCACGAAATATTTCAAGATGATGCCACCTTCTACACGACCAATCAATAATATGCTTTTAACTCCTTATAACAAATTTCGTTCATTAGTTTTTTCATTCTCCCACATCAACTTTAGTTGATGAAATGCCATAAGACACCTGAAGTTCTCTACAACCTACACTTTAAGCCAGTGGCAGCGTAGCTTCACACTTTGAACTCGTAGTCGGATAGTTGCGAGTTCGAGACTGGCCTGCGTCATGCTATTGTGTCCTTGATCAAGATACTTTACCACACTTGTCCCAGTCTACCCTTTTGTATAATGGGTACCGGCTGTTAGTTGGAAATTAACTTGCGATAGACTGGCATCTCGTCCAGGGTCACAATTCTCATCCGCTTTTGCCACTTGGAACCGAAGTTCGAAAACCTATGTACCTTGCAAAGGCACAGCAAGGATTCAACTTCAAGCCACCCTTATCGATAATATTTCTGCAATACCAATAATTTGAGATTGATACTGGTCAGAGACGCTTGATGTTAATTCTTTTATTCAAACCACCTAATCTGAAATTGTCACTAAACATGTCCAAGCTCCCTAAAATCAATTCAGGGAGTCTAGGTTTTTCTCGAAAATGCTGTAAATAAACTCAATTTATAAAGAGACTTATATAAAGATATGACCACAGGTTACACATTAGCCAGCAATAGGCGACTCCCACTTACGTGATTATGTGTTTGTAAGCTACGTATACACACACCTCTCCTTTTGAACGTTCTTATGAACCAACTTTCATATATCATTTCACCACAATACATTAATAGCCACCACTTTCATGTGTGTGAAGCTTCAAACGTTCTTCTCTACACCTCTATTGACTGAGTCTATCTTTCTGTTCTATTTGTTGTTTTTTGTTACTGTTGTTTATGTCTGCATGAGGCCGAGTTTGACACTTTCCTCACCTATTAAGTTCTCAGCATTTTTATATTTCACCTTCACGTATTTCATGAGAAGCCGGTAGAACATGGAGTTATCAGTAATATACACCTTTTTAGCATCAAGTATCTATGCTTCCAAGAAGTTAAATACCAGAATGGGTAAGGTTGATTTAATGACACATCCCAGATATGTGTGATGTAAAATTTATACATCTTCAGGAAGATGAGCGAAATATTACACTCATTCTTTAGAGCAAAAGGTAAATATTGTATTTGAAAAAGTCTGACTTCAAAGAAATATACAGTAAATGAACATATTCATTCTATGAAGCCTGTGTTTTTTTAGTTAGGCTTATAATATAGAGTTCAATAAGAAAATATGTATGGAAAATATAGAAACTTTATAAGCATAAATTATTGTACACAATGCACATGGACCCTTAAGAATAAAATGTTTTTGAAATTTTATATGCCTCCTTTCAAATGGGTTATTTTGGTATGGAGAAGTAAATCACAGTATTGTTGAACATAACTAAATATGTACAAACGACTAACGTTAAGTAATCAACTGTAAGGTGTAACAACTCATTAGTTGTACATTCTACAGTCCGGATGTTTCACTTGTTTTACAGTAATTAAAGCAGCTTATAATAATTCGAATTAATACAATTTTGATAAAGCCTCGTTTCTCTCCTCTTAATTACGTAACCTTTACAATATATACTAAGTTTTAACATAGTGTAGTCTATAAACCTAATTCCAAGAGTCTGTAAATATTAGATTCAAAATCTCAACAGAAACTTCATCAACTAACAAGGTGACAAACTTTCTACACTAGTTTCAAAATTCTGTATTATCTTGGTAAACTTAATAATTATATATTTTGATTCCTTACAATTTCATTCCTAGAGTTTCTTAAAACATTCTCTACAACCTATCACAGGCCTAGTGCTATTTTATAGTCCCTGAATATTTTAGTTATTCAATCAAACACGAAAGAAAATTGCAATGTAAAGACTAAACTTGTAACACATAATTACAAAACATAATCATTAAATAATAATATTACAAAATAAAGCAATACATAATAGAAAATTTACAAAATAAAACATGAAATGCAAATATATATATGTGTGTGTGTGTGTGTGTGTGATAGTACTTTCAAATTCACTAATATAAATAAAAAAAGGGTCACATACCAGGATCAAAAAGAAAAAAAGCTTACATGCTAAAAGATTGGTATCTTCATCTGAAAGTTTTGGAGGTGTCTTTCTTATGTCCGTTGCAGTGGTAGGCTTAGCTATGGATGCTGAATGAAAAATAAATAACATTTCCAGAATGTTAACGGTTAAAATATTCTTATGACATCAAAACACTAAACTTTTATTTTCATATTACATAATGAATTTACATATATTAAATTTCAAATGCCTAGTTACTAGAACCACTAGGTATAGAGGTTACTCGAAACCCGTTGTTCTCAAACGTTTTAGATAGCGCTTTCCTTCCGCTTATCTGTGGTACTTGCTGCACGTACACTGTACATATGTTTTAAAACTCCACTATGCCACTATCGATAAATATTAAAAGTTAGAGTGAATCACAGGTTCAAATGGGCACGCATATAAGAATATAATAACGCGCATTTTATGCAGGATAATACATAAGGTGTGTACGGCACTTTTATTTATTTTTAAGTGAACCTTCTAACCCACCAAGAGGATATATTCAGCACTACTCCTACGGAGCATGCGTCGTCCAGTTTGAGAACCACGGCTACAAACGGCGAGGAATATATTTGTAATGATCATAAAAACAACAACTGTTTTTATTGTATTTTATATAATTACGAAGCATAGCTGCTATCTTTGACTTAATGTTCAACCTGAACTTACTTTTAAAAAAGTCGCCGTAAAATTGGTTTAAGCCTATTAACTCATATCTTATTAAAGCTGTAAATGCAGGTTTGGTGACTCTAGTTTAAAATAATTCATGAACCATAGTAATTTCAAACTTTAGATACACGTTTTTGGTTTAATATAGGCAAAATAAATGAAAATAATCGCGGTGAAACTTTTCTATATATTTAACGCAATGAATTTTCAGAAATGTTTTTGAGATTCTGTTAGAAAATTCATACGAATGATAACAGAGTTTGATAGCTAAAGACAGATCTAGGCAAAGAAAATTCAGTTCTTTTAATTATATCGTGATAACTCTTTCCATAAGATATCACCTATAATCTTCACAAGCATGCTTAGAAATTTAAGGGGTTTCTGCTTTTTTCTATTCTTTGTAATAATCTGGAAACAGCGCGTAGAAAGGGGAGATTATTTTTGCCTTAGCTAGAGTGTTATGGAAGGTTACAGAACTAATTATAATGAAATAACATAATATTTTTTTAACACATGTCAAATAGTCAGAATCAAGGAATATTACTTATTTCTGGACTTTTATGTAAATAGTTTTTGCCTTAAAGTCACTTAGCGTAAAACTTGTTACCATTTCGTTTATGTTTTTCTTTCTGGGCTATCCATATCAGAATGTATGAAACATAACACACTGTTTGATACTCAGTGGGTAAACTAAATCAAGTCTTGATTTAGATAAATATCAGTGGCTTTCAAAATTTCAAAAAATGTATTCAAATTGTGAATGTCAAACTTTCTATTATACTTGTCTTTTTTATAAAGGCTACTTATTTAACTTTGGAATGATATT